TAGGTACTGCGAACTGATTATAATATTTAACCTAACCTGTGTATCCTGTGCAGTCATCCATCAAATTACATAATTAAACAAATAAATAAACTTTTAATATTGTGATCATTTAGACTTAGTTATGATTATGGTGACAATGCTGAATGAAGTGGTCTGAAAAACTATCAATGTCACTGGATCTCATGCACGTTTCATGATTTTCTAATTTTTTTATTACCTAATAGGAATTGAAATAAAATATATCTAGTTTTCTGATCGAGCACATTTAGTAAATATCACTAACACGTTTTTAATTCCCTTGTGTTTTTTGAATAGAGCTTACTTGCTTTCTTTTTCACATTGCTTAGTAAAGTGTTCCTGCCATTATTGGGAATCTTTAAGTCTCTAAGGGGTGAAAAAAGCAAAAGAAATGATAGGCCAATCTCCGAAGGATAATAATACAGATACTTTACTCTGGTAAATGCATTAAATGTAATTGGTTTATCATTAAAAACGTTGAAAAGGGTAAAAGATACCTTAAAAGAACGATTTTTCTTTTTGACAAAAATCCATAGACACCGTTTATTTGTACTTTAAAACGTATGTTGTATAATTTTGTTATATAAGTTTCGAGGTTTGTTAGATTATATAGTAAAGATGTTTCAAACGTTCGACTAAACCTGCATTGCCTAAATTGCTACTGTCTCATTAGCATGTATTTTTCTTTTACAGATTGCTAATGGAGACTGCACTGATTTATCCTGTTTTCATTTATTAAGCACGGTATTTCAAAACAAAACAAAACAAAAAACAAAACAAAACAAAACAAACAAACAAACAAACAAACAAACTATACACAATTTTCTACTAGTTTTCTATTCTGGTCCATTTAGAAACTACACAGCCAATTCATTGTCAATGTTACATTGAATAAAGGAGAAAAAACTACTATTAAATCATTTTACTCGAGCAAATACATTATTAACAATCTTTTTTGATTATTTTTATATTATTTTTTGAAAGTTGTCAATGTTAATATTTTAACGATTAAATAATGTAAAATCCTATATGATGTTCTTACGATAACGTTAATGTCATGCTGAATGTATATAACCTTTAATTTGTATTCATATAAAAGTTAAAAACTACCTTGCATTTAAATTGTATTTCAAAAATTAAAATTCATAAAATGTGATTTTGTTTGTAGTTAAAATAATGCAAAGTCATTTCACAATTACAAGTGGAATCATGTATTTACTTTAAAAGTACGTACTGGTCTCTGCTGAAAAAACAAGTAACAACCTTATCTTTGTTTATCTTTGTTTGTAAGGCTCATTATTGTCCCCCGCTTTCACTGAAAGTGGGGGATATTAATTTGGGTCTGTCTGTCCGTCCGTCTGTCTATCCGTCCGTCTGTATATCTGTCTGTCTGTAACACTTTCGTTTCCGCGCGATATCTCGAGAACCCTTTGAGCTTTCGCAAATGAAATTTTGCATAGCTAAGGAAGACCCCTATTGATTTTGAGGTCAAAAGGTCAAAGTTCAAGGTCGTAAATTCATAAATTCCGTCCGTGTGTAACACTTTCGTTTCCGGGCGATATCTCAAGAAGCTTTTGCAATGAAATTTTATTCCATAACTCCCTATAGCCTCTCTTGTCCCTCTCAAAGTGTCCCTCCCCGTTTTTTTTTTTTTATTTATTATATTAAAAGTCGCTTGGCACTATTTTAGCACAGGGGCATGTCGAGAGTTCTTACGTATAATACAGGTTGTCGGCAGACTTTATATTCTAATTACATCTATTAGAACTGTTTAGTAAAGGCTAAATTAGACAACATTGATTGTGTAAAATTTTGACAATATCAAACGTGAATATAAACAGTATATGTGACTTAATGTTTGCATTTAATTTGCTTTATAATCAAGTACCTCCGTGGTCTAGTGGTATGTTGCTCCCTTAGCAAGCGAGAGGCCCGGGCGATTCTCTCTTCTTCTTTTTTGATGTTTTTTAGGGGGGGGGGGGGGTTGGGGGTTGGGGGATTTACTAAATGATACTATTTAACGTGTGAAATGAAAAAGTAATGATGTCTGGCGTGTACAAACTCATAAAATCATTATTACAGTGTGATAAATATTCTGTATATAGTATATTAAAAAGGAATCTTCTATACACATATTAAAGAATAAGCAATCAAATCTTTAGATCCATATTGGCTTTTTTTCAATTTGCTACAATATACATGTATACATTTAATAATTCTACAAATACAGGGGGCAGTGTGACCCCCCCCCCCTGAACTGCGCATGCTCTTCTTTTTTCCCTAAGCGGGGGGCACAAATTCTCTGAATTAGCTTGTTTAAATTGTATTTTAGAGCAACTTGGATTTAATTCTACAAGTGGTAATCCAACTTATATCCATACATGTAGCTCCCTTCCTCAGGAGGAAATTCTTCAAAATCATACGTCATTTTTGAATATTTTTTATATCCAAACAACCAAAATGAATTTGAATTACTATATCTATTTTGGATTCAGAAACTTCATAAAAATCCTTACAAACAAATATACATAGCGGTTTTCAGTAATTGTGCTTTCAAGCCTCTTTCATTACTCCTCACTTAAATATTAACAGCAGTGAAGGACTGTGCAACAATATATTCGAAAAGTGGTGTAAATCAGATGTGGATACTTAAAAAATCCAAGGAACTTTTGGAACATTTGAAATCACAAAGTTTTACCAAAATCAACAACATAAAAACTTACGAATTTTCAAATTTATATACAACTATTCCTTACGATAAATTAAAGTCCGGGCTTTTTGACATCATTGAAAGCTGCTTTTTCAACAAAAATAGAACTCGTAAATTTACTTACCTTGCCATTGGTCATTTGCAAAATTATTTTGTTAAAAAACACTCTGATTGTACGCACAAGTACTCTGAAGTTGATATTAAAAAGATTTTTGAGTTTCTGATTGACAATATCTATGTTGTCTTAAGAGACAAGGTTTTTCAGCAATCTATTTAAATTCTCATGGGTATCAGTTGCGCATGTTTACTCATGCAGCAATATACCTTTATCACCTGCAAAAGGGGTTTATATCTCTCAGTTGATTCGATACGCAAGAGCATGCTCTACGTATGACCAATTTCTAAAACGAGGTAGGTTATTGACAAACAAGTTGATGAAACAAGTAAATCAGCAGTCTCGTTTAAAGTCATCATTTCGTAAGTTCTATGGTCGATACAATGACCTTGTCAGCAAATGAAATATGAAGATAACGAACAGTATTCAATCTCGAAAGTCCAATGAAACGACACAAATTTGGAGCAGGGCAAACACGGACCTCAAAATTTAGAGGTACAATCTATCATTAAGTCAAATGCTGACTGACGTTTTTTATACTAATTGTTAGACCATTAATATTAATATTAGTGTGACCGGTCGGCAGGGGATGCTCACTCCTCCATGGGACCTGATCCCACCTCTGATGTTTTAGAGGTCCGTGTTTGCTCTGCTCCTGATTTGTATTGTTTAATGGACTTTTGAGCTTGAATACTATTCGTTATTTCCAAATATTTCATTGAAAAGTACGTGTAAATATTTTCTTTCCCAATTTCATTTTCAACATAGGGTACCAGTCATTTTTAATCTTTAAAAAGTGTTCAAAGACAATATGTACTGGTGAACAGAAATCACTGCTGCTTACTTAAAGCTGAACACGACTCGTAAATAGGCATAAGCCATATTAGCCTTCCTATCTCCCATATCAGCACTGACACCTGTTCCTATTGGCCTTCCACCAGGGTGGCATCTCAATATGAGTGAAAAATTCTCAAAAAATAAAAAAAAAGTTAAACAACAAACAAACAAATAATTTGCAACACAAGCAAAAGTAGATTTTTTCAATCAAGTTATAACTGCCTGATGAGCCTAATTAACATGGCAAAGGCACTTGCAGTAAATACATTGTAATTTTTGGGATTTATAATATTATAAACACCCAGCAAAACTGTACCGGTCTTCTTTTTGTATTTGTATACTTACACAAGTTAAAATATGTTTGTTATGTACTTAGTTATTTTCAGTTGCTATATAGCGGAATGTCCATTTAGTCTTAAAAAAAACAGTAAGTCACCTGTATGTGTCCAGTAAATTAGGTAATTTGTCCATCTTTAAACTTATTGGACATTTCTTTCAACTTATTATAGGAAGTATCAGGTAAATCGAAACAAAAGAAAAATAATCATTTTTTTTTTAATTTCAAACTAAATGTCACAAGTAAAACTTCTCCAACACGATGATTTTTTGGAATTCCTAATATATTTTTACTTTTAAGATAAACAATTCACGTTTAAACAATGAATTTTAAGGCATTCCCGTTGCATTTTTAACGCTTAGATTCATAATTCACATTAATTTCCTTGGTCATGATTTTTCTTATCGCACTTCACCTTAGAATGTGATAGGCAATATTAGACATATTCCCATGCTTTATATAATTTCACTTCATCCTGAGGTACTTTACGGAAAGGTCTAAGACAAATCTGCTGCAATTTCTGTATTCTTAGATAGCCCATTTTGTATCAAATAATCTAGATCTTTTTGATTTAAAGAATTATGGAATTTCCTAATTGGCTAAGACAAAGTTTTAGTTATATCATACAAATGAGACATTTGATATGAATGATTCAATATGTCATCTTTCATTTCAAATTGTATCAATTAAATCCTTTGGGAATTTTTCCTCCAACATTTTGGTTTTGATGCTCCTTTTATTTGTGGTAAAAATCCAGCATTTCATATCATTTGTTATTTAAAAATTATGTAATTTCGAAAGAAGATTTAACTGACGATCATTCAATTATTTTTCTTTGAACAATATGAATCTTTTTCACTGTAAACAACAACAAATAAGTTGATAAACATATTAATCTACCGAATGCAGTAACAATAAAGTGCTTAGTTCTGTGTTAAGCCAGAAGCGATACTCTTCAACAAAAGAAACTCTTGTAGCTTCATTTGAATATAATTGACAAAGGAAAAATATTATGTCAATAAATATAAAATACATGCTATATCCCAGGCAGTTGGCGATAAGTTAAAATTATATTTATATTATCCGTTGTTTAATGGTAAAAACCACATTCAGACCTGTGAACAGTCATTCATTATTTCTGATTACAATTTTCCTTCTTTTTTTTTTGAAGTTCACATTAGGAAGATAACCAGCTACATCTACTGTGTAACTTTTTGAATCACGAAAGCTCCTGCTGTTATTCCCGCTGTAACAGCGATACCTCCCAAAGTACATAGTACGCCAACACCGAACCTCTTCACTTGCTGGCTTTCATGTTTTCCTGTGGCACATAACCTCGCAATATGCTCGCAGTTGTTCTCAAATAAGTCGTATTGTATCTGTTCCCTATTTTCCAACAAGTACTCTATCATTTCTATCGTATTTTCGGGATCTAATCGCTCTTGATACACGTATTTGTATATCACAGGAACAATTTTCCTCCAATTTGTTATTTTTTGAATACTTCTTTTTAATCCTAGAACTGGAGTTTGATTCATGGCGATCCCCATACCAATGACTTCAAATTGATTTTTGTCCTCCCAGACTCTAGTTACAATTCCATGGTGAGTGTATAACAAGCGATGGAACTTGATGTGGTCTCCTTTTCTCAGCTGAGAAATATTGTCGACTGGCATTGTCTGAAAAATTTTGAAAATAAAGGGATCATAATGCAGAATAAAAAAAAGTTATTTCCAATGGATTAATTACTCTTTCTTTATTTTTAGTCGCCCAGTGGTCAAGTGGTGAGTGTGTTTAGTTCCAGAGTCGCGAACTAAGACGTTAATCTTTATATAGGGTTCGAATCCATTGCGGACATGGAGACCGATCCTTCGGGCGAGACTTAAGGCAGATCGCGGGTTTACTGCATAAAATTCTTACGAGAAAACATATCCTGAAAATGTGATCAATGTTCCTTAGAATTTGCAGCATATTATCTGTAATTTTTTATCAAATTTGCCTACGTAGTTTTAATGCTATATTACTGTAAACGCGGTATAGTTTTTAGTAGTATTTTTACCCTTTACTATTGAAATATATAGGAAGATAACGTTTTAATCCAATTTTATGGAAAGATTTTCTTTTAAAAAGGTTGGGTAACTTTTTGAAGACGTAGACGAATTAGTCAGGAATTTCAAAATGTCAAGATGAGGTAAATTAAAACTATTGAAAAAAAAAAATCAATACGTCTTCCCGCTAGTTTTTTTTTTGTTTTTTTGTTTTTTTGTTTTGTTTTGTTTTTTTTTTTTTTTTGTTTTTTTTTTTTTTTGTTTGTTTTTTTTTTTTTGTTTTTTTTTTTGTTTTTTTTGTTTGTTTTTTGTTTTTTGCTAGATAATTTCGAAGTTTGCTTTCATATTGCCAAATGTTGTGTTTGTTGCGTTATTGATGACTACAACGTCATATATATGTTGGACGTAATCGCGTTTACATATCAATATCTTTATATTTGGAATATGCAAGATCTAGATGGTGACATAGATGCATAATGTAATTTCATTCATCATCTCACTAATTGCAGAAACATGTTAGGAAGACCAGCAACTTATCTTCACTAGTATTAAGAAATTCATATTCTGCTCACGAAGTCAGAATGAACAGTACCTAAACATTCCTCGTGCATTATAATTAACATGCAGCGAGAACACCGCGAGTGATAATATATTAATTCATGTATGAATGAATGTTCATATGTGAATGTTTAGGATGTTCATGTTCATTAAGATTTCAGGCATAACACATGAATTTGATCTCTTCATTCGAAATGGTGAAGAAAACACGCCGCATTACTGAGGAAGGGGGGGGGGGCTTACTTGAAGTCGCTAGTATGTAAATTTTGAAATGCATTTAAATAAATTTATACAAACATCCGGACTATCGGATCTATATGACAGATAATAATATACAAGTAACAAGTCAATTTTTTTCTATATATATCAAAAGCAATCAGTGTACAAATTGAATGCAAGTATTTTACATTATGCATATGAAATTCTTTGATAAAGAAAAATTAACAAATGTTTGAGAGTTAGGGCGATATAAAAAGAAAATTACCGGTACCCCCCCCCCTTCCTCAGTAATGGGGAGTTTTTCTTCACCGTTTCGAATGAAGTGAAATTCATGTGTATATGCCTGAAATCTTAAGGAGGGATTCTTCTCATAGGAACACTTTTTTCTTATATTTAAAAATCAATGAAATTTTCACAGAATCAAGAAGACAATACCACTAAGTATCAGTAAGATTAAATTTGACCGTTTTATATTCGAGGCAAGGTCAGGTCAAGGTCAGTACCTTTTCCCTGGACATTAAGAATAAAAATTACTGTTGCCAATCATGCGATGCCAACTTCTATTTCAATAAATTAAATGTTTTTCTTTTTGCATAAAGAGATATTACCATATAGGGTCTATAAGACGATATTACCAAATTGACATAAATAATTTAACAAAATGGATATTGGCTAATCCAAATTTGATATGCTTCCCATATTTAAATTTTTCTTATTTTCGCATATGGTAAAGTTGTCACATAAAGATACAAAATTATATAAAAAACAAAAACTTTTGACCGAATAAACACTTTTTACGGATTTTTGCCTCAAATCTGAACTTAGATAGAAACCTTTAAAAGCTAACATAATTGAAGATTGTTTGGAAAATCATAATTATTTTATATATTTTAAAACTTTAGTCACTTATTATTAATTTAACTTACATTTAAAAATTTTCTCCAAGTCTTTGATTGTGTAAAAATTATAACTAAATTCGTTGTTCTATGATTTTTTGAGAGGCAGAAAAGAAGATATTTTTATACGTCGCCTTTCCGCCAAAAATAAAGTCCCTGCTAGATTTCAAACTCAGTTTACCAGTTCTATTTAAAGTTGTACAATTGTGATGAGGAAAGAAAAATATGATCGTTTAAATCTCTTACATCTAAATATATAAAACATATAAGCAAATATACTTTGAATATTTCATCTAGTAAGAAACCAGACAAGAATCCCTCCTTAATGCACATAAACATCCTAAACATTTATGTATAAAACATTCATACTTGAATTAATATATTAACACTCGTGGTGTCGCTGCATATTAATTCTTATGCACGAAGTATGTTTATATCAATACACCATTCATTCTGACTCCGTGGACAGTTTGTGAATTTCACAGTACTAGTGTAGATTTATAAGATCTATATATATATATATATATATATATATATATATATATATATATATATATATATATATATATATATATATATATATATATATATATATATATATATATATATGTATGTATGTATAAACAGAATTTAATACACAATAAATAGTAAAGTAAAATATCATAGGAAAGGTCAAGGTAAAAATAATTGGATAATGTTGTTAAATTCTTACCAAATAATGTACGTGCATAAGCTTAGTTAAAACATATTTTGAAGAGTTTCTTGAAACTGAGCTAAACAAAAATTTTAGAAAGTGAGGTCAAGTCAAAGGAAAGCCAAGGTCAAAAAGTGTTGATGAAGTTCAATAACTCTCCTCAATATGTATCAGCATGTGAAATATGATAAAATTACCTTGATTTCTCCCTTTGAAACTTAGCAAAACATTTTTTTAAATGAGGAAAGAAGAAAGGCTAAGGTCAAAATGTTAATGCAATTGAATAGCTCTAATTGATATGTATAAGTATATAAAGTTTGATAAAAATATCTTGAATAGATTCTTTTGAGTCTAACTAGAAAAAATGAAGTCAAAGGTCAAGGCCTAAATTTAATGTTGATGCAATTGAATAGTTTTCATCGATATGTATAGACATATAAAGTTTGATTTCAAATATCTTGAATAGTTTTTTTTTAAAATTTAACTAAACACAATTTTGAAGTCAAGGTCAAAAAGACCAAGGTAAAAAATGTTGATGCAATGAAAAAGTTCTCACCAATATGTATCAACATAATAGGTTTCATTAAAAAACCTTGGATATTTTCTTTGAAACTGAACTTAATACAAATTTAAAATAAGCTAGCTCAAGTTCAAAGGAAAGGTCAAGGTAAAAAAAGTTGATTAAGTTGAACAGCTCTCATCAATATGTTTGTGTTTATAAGGTTTGATAAAAAATATCTGAAGTTTTTTTTTTTTTATTTTTAAATTAAGATAACCACTAATTTAAGAGAGTAAGGTCAAGGTCATTAAAAAGGGCAAGGTCAAAAATATTGATGCAGATGATTAAAAAATCTTGACAGTTAAACAGTAAAGTTTGATAGATATATTTTATATAGTTAAACAGTTAAGTTTCATAATTATATCTTGAATATTTTCTCTAAAACTTAGCTAATAACAAATTTAAGAAAAGTGAAGTCAAGGTTAAGGGAAATGATCAAAATACGTTGATGACGTTGTAGTTCTGATCAGGTTTTATGAGCATATAAAGTTTGATAAAAATTCCATGTTTTGTTGGGTAAACCCTTTTATGATCATGTATTACCAAGGTAGTCACACACTTGTTCATGCTTTGTTGGATAAAACTTAAATAATTTCTTTGAAACTGATCTAAACACAAATTGAAGAAAAGTGAGGTGAAGGTTAACGGGAAGGTTAAGGTAAAAAAAATGTTGATGCACTATATGCCCCGGCTTTATTTATATATCTATATTTCCTCTGCTCTTGGGCATCTCACAAATAGAGTACAAATTTGAAATAATAAAGTGTTTTCACCCGATTTGACTGGGTTGAGTTTTCTTGTGCTATGTAGGGTTGTATTGATCTTGAAGGGAAATTTGTACGCCCCTGAGAGAAGTTATTCCCATTTGCTTTTCAATTAATACAATTAATCACTGTAAATTATTTAACTGATAAGACAATTGAATACAAGAATTACACAAGTATTAAACAAGAAGGACTTTCATATATTTTAATGTTCAAGTACACTGGTAAACAATAGATGAATAAAAATGAGACAGAGTACCTTATCTTTGTAAATTAAATATTCTTCAAAGACCACAGGACGTCTCCATAGATCTCTGATGGATTGATTGATTGATTGATTGTTTTACGTCCAATTCCAGAATTAAAATTCTCAAATGGGACAAAAAACAAGATACGATCAGTCAAAGACGAAGAGAGGTCTGTGTTACAGAATTTAATCGGTTTAGTATACTCAAGCCTATTGTAATATTTAGTTTGCATGGTGATAGTGGTGATAGTGACAAATGGGAGTGTATTAGCACTGAAAAGTACAGGTAAGTAAATTGATTTACTTTATAATTTGTTAATGAGTATTAGATTTTTTTTTCATATCAAGTTTCTCTTGCTTTTCGGCGACATATCTTCATCTATCAGTCTATTTTTATTTTATTTTATACAAGTTGATTATGGAAAACTTAACGATACTTGCATCATAACCCTATTGTTCTTAAAATATTTTTTATACCCGTACTTTCTAAGGAGAGTTCGGGAATGTTGTTGTTACCTTGGTCCGTCCGTCCGTCTGTCACACTTCTTCCTCAAACTCCTCTTTTAATTTAAGCAGTAACCAATTGATGGTGTCCTGTAGCTGTGCAATAAGGTTTTGGAATTTTCATCTTTACCCTGGAGGCTAAATGAGGAACAAAAAAAAAAAAATGACGATTTTTCTACAAAAATCTGGTTCCCAGACTCCTCTTACATTTTACCCAGTAGCCAAACCATCTTTTGCAAGATGATTAGTGGTGTCCTGTAGATGTGCAATAAGGTTTCAGAATTTTCATTTTCATCCTAGGGGGTAAAATGGGGGTCGAACATGACGCTTTTCTAAATAAATCCTGGTTCCCAGAACTCCTCGTATATTTTATGCAATAGCTGAATCATCTTTTGGAAGATGAATGGTGGTGTATTGTAGATGCGAAATAAGGTTTCCAATTTTTTATTTTCATCCTGTTGGTCAAATGTGGGTCGAAAAACGATTCTATTTTCTAACAACAACAACCCCCTCCCCCGGTTCCCAGAACTCCTTTTATATTTTACTAGTATACAACAGCCAAATTATCTTTTGAAAGATGATTGCTGGTGTCCCAGAACTCCTCTTCTATTTTACCCAGTACCCAAATCATCTTTTGAAAGATGATTGCTGGTGTCCCAGAACTCCTCTTCTATTTTACCCAGTACCCAAATCATCTTTTGAAAGATGATTGCTGGTGTCCCAGAACTCCTCTTCTATTTTACCCAGTACCCAAATCATCTTTTGAAAGATGATTGCTGGTGTCCCAGAACTCCTCTTCTATTTTACCCAGTACCCAAATCATCTTTTTAAAGATGATTGCTGGTGTCCCAGAAATCCTCTTCTATTTTACCCAGTACCCAAATCATTATTTGAAAGATGATTGCTGGTGTCCTGTGGATGTGCAATAAGACTTCAGAATTTTTATGTTCCCCTGTGGTCAAATGGGGGTCGAAAGATGATTTTTTTTATCTACAAAAATACCCTGGTTCCCAGAACTCCTCTTATATTTTAAGCAGTAGCAAAATCATCTTTTGGAAGATGAATGGTTGTGTATTGTAGATGTACAATAATGTTTCAGAATTATATTTAAAACGATTTTTCCTTACATATTCCCATGTAAAACTTTAGTCCCCCATTATGGCCTAGCCCTTATTCCTTGGACAAGGATTTGAAAAAACTTGAGTCTTCACTATCTGAGGATGTTTATATGTTAATGTGACTAAATATTACTGTGTTGTTCTTCATCAGAAGTTTATTTAAGTTTTTTCCCCTATATTTTCACATGTTATACTTTGATCCCCTATTATTGCCCCACACTACCCTCAAGGGCCATTATTTGAAAAAAAAAAAATTGAATCGGCACTAACCTAAAGATACATATTAATATGACTGATATCCATTGCAGTGTTGTTTTGAGAAGATGTTTAATAAATGTTTCCTATCTAATCACAGCCCTATTGTGGCTGTACACCCCCCCCCCCCCACCCCGGGGGGGGGGGGATGATTTGAACACAAATTAACAATATGTCAGAAAGCTGACACATAAGTTTCATCATTTATGAAGGACTTTTTTTTACCTTGTTTTTTTTTTTATTATTATTATTCCACTCTTTAAGATGGCATGATCCTTTTATTTGAATTAACTTGAATTCCTTTTATGCAATGATGCTTTTCTGGTAAGTTTGGTTTAAATTGTCCATTGGTTCTGCAAAAATCGTCGAAAACGTGAAAAGTTGACAGACAGACGACGGACAACAGGTGATCAGGAAAGCTCAATTGAACCTTATAGGTATTAACTTCTTATCATTGTTCATTTTAACCGTCACGGTATCTCAGTCGGTAGAGCGCTCGCACCGTGATCGGAGGATCGTGTGTTCGAATCACGGCCGCGACTGACCTAAGTCGATAAAAATAAGGTAGCAACTGTTCTTTCCCCAAACGCTCGGCACTTTATAGTGAAAGTTGCGAGTCCTTCGGATGAGACTTTAAAAACCGAGGCCCCGTGTCACGGTAGGCGTTGGCATGATAAAGAACCCTCAATGCTCAAAGGCCTGAAGTGCCGAGTAAAGTTCTAAATTTGAAGCCCTTCACGGTATATCTCTATATGAGTGAAAAATTCTCGAACGGGACGTAAAACAACACACAATCGACCAATCAATCTTATCATTGTTCACCTACAAGTAAAGAAATGTTCTCTACATGTCTAAAAGGGCACCAACGTAACTGTACTATATCAACTTAAAAGAACTATCCGGAGTAATTTCGATATATAGTCTTGACCTTCGTAAAAATTTGCTCAATCAGCATAAGCCATTAAACTTGACTTCTAAGTCAACAATATGATGAGATATATAAACAAATTAACTCATTATTTACAAGCACCACTAAAGAAAGTTCGGTAAACTGTTCGACAGAGTGGAATGACATATATAAGTAACGGAATGACAGAATGACGAACAGAAAGGGATAACACCATTACTCTGACCACTGCAAGGTACAGTCTTAAAAATCATTCATTCTCCATATATGATACAAGACAAGGTAGCAGTTCGATGGTTGAAAGCAGTCGACTAAGTCAAATAAAGATCGAATTGTTGACAGGTGACATTTTCCATATTCATGTCCTAGTGTCGAACAGACACAGGTCGATTGTTGACGGTATTCATAATCTAGCATCGACCAGGCCTGGAGGGTATAAAACTTTCTGAGTATGTACTCAGTGCTCAAACTCAAACTCCGTACTCCAAAACCATACTCATGCTAAAAATTCCTCTCTAATTTGTACATAAATTTTGAGTATGAGTAAGGTTTTAGAGAACGGAGTATGAGTTTGAGCACAGAGTACGTACTCAAAAAGTTTTATAACCTCCAGGCCAGGAATATGTCGATGGTTGACAGTTGATATTTTCCATATTCATATCCTATAGTATTGACCAAGGACAGGTCGACGGTTGACAATTGACACCATCCATATGGTACCAAAAAGTCTCCTAATTATTTCCACACAAGAGTATTACATTATAGAAAATAAAAAGTCTCCTAATTATTTCCACACAAGAGTGTTACATTATTATTGAACATAGAAAAATGATTTACAGTAGAAGAAAATAAATAAACAACATGAACAAACATACCTTTGTGCAAACGAAACTTATCAGTTCATGTGCCATTGTTTCTTATCAGTCTCCTTCCTGAAATGTTGACGCATTTATGTATAAATGCACAGTTTTACATTGCTCTGAATTTTTCATCAAACTCCTGAAAATTCATAATTTCCATTTTAAACACAGGAACATTGCATGATTTTTTTCAACGTCTTCAGTGTGTGCGTTTTGTTGGGGTGGGGGGAGCAAAAAATAATAAACAAGTTTATTCGAAAACTTATTTGGGGCTAAGGTACAAACTTTCAAACTCTCTCTCTCTCTCTCTCTCTCTCTCTCTCTGACAAACCATGATACATTAACGTGGAAGGTTTTGACCTTATTGACTAACGTGACACAAGTAGTGTATGTGTACTTGGGTGTGTGTGTGTGTGTGTGGCGGGGTAGGGGGGGGTTGCAACCAGCCTTGTAATGATAATTTCCACACTAAATTAACAGCAAGAAACAATAGCTTGAAATTACGAAATAAATTTAAAAACGTCGGATTTTTTAGTGTATTCAAATAAAGTTCTAAAATTCTAACTAAGGAAGCGATTCCTGCAATATTCCAGACATCATAATGGTTCTTTTATTTCTTATGGCACTAAAAAGTCTATAGCAATGACCAGAAATATAAATGGTTTGATAGACTTACAAAGTGTCTGACAGATAAGTTCTTGGACTGGGACATGTTAAAAACAGTAATTAAAAGAGAAGCTAGCTGTCATAAGAATTTATACACTGTTAATCAACATAACTCCGCACAAACACGTCCTACGTACAGTACCCAACTCCTTACACTATCAGTATGCCTCCTGTAGCGTGAACCAAGGGCACTTGTATGCTTGTTCACCATACATCACAGGGGCTTGTGTAGAGAAAATAAATCAGTTAGAAAATTAGTACCTCGGAGAAAAAAACGAGGTACTAATTTTCTAACTGATTTATTTTCTCTACACAAGCCCCTGTGTTTTTTTCTCCGAGTTACTAATTTTCTAACTGATTTATTTTCTCTACACAAGCCCCTGTGCATACATGCAGTAGCACCAATCTATGTTTCTTCTCCCTTACCAAACTGTTATGTTTGCTGCAGACCTGCAGCAAGTCTGCTGCAAGTTTGCAGCAAACAAAATTGTTCGCAGGAAGAAACTTTTCTTGTTCGCAGATGATTGCCGCTAGCAGCGATCTTGCGGCAAACATTGCAGCAATTGCTGTAAGCTTGCAGCAAATTTGCAGGAACATTGCAAGAAACATATACGCCAATCTGTTGTTCGCAGCAAGTTCGCAGGAAACATTTAACAAATTGAATGTTTGCAGGAAGTTCGCAAGAACAGTAAACAAGTCAAATCAGCCAATGAAATGCAGATTGTACTGGGGTCAACACAGAATTCGCCATTTTGAAATGTTTGAATTGAAGTGTAGATGTTTCAGTATTTTGTTAGGAATACTTCCCATTTTGAACATGTTGAATGATTACAAAAGCAAAATTCTGAATATAGGTGTATATTGGCATACAAAACATCTAATTGGTAAGATCTGATTTTGTTTTATTTTGATATGAAACAATTATCTCTTTAAAGCATGTTCAAGTAACATGTTCAAGTAACATGTACTTGCTAGGTCAAATCTTAATCTATTTATGAATTTTAATCTTATTTTAATATCACAATTGTATGTTTCTTTAAATGTATTAAAGGTTCCAAATCAACTATTATAAATGTTTATATGTTTTCAAATAAATTAGTATTAACCGTAAAATTTTATTGTTAAAGGAATCTGCGAAGTTTTTAATTTTCTGTACTTGTCAAAAAAATTATATTTTTTATTAAGAATAGAATGTGAACATTGTCAAGGAACATAAAGAGAGACTATCAACACTTCAGAAACTAGCTTGCATCATTTCATACACATGTGGTGGATTTTCTCTATAGTTAACTTCAACAGATTAAGGTCAGGACAAAGGCTTTCTGCGAACTTGCTGCTAATGTACGCAGGAATGTGCCAAATACAATAATTATATTCCTTGCCGCAAGTTAGCAGCAATGTTTGCCGCAAGCTTGCAGCAATGATTGCCGCAAGCTTGCAGCAAGGTTTCCATATTTGGAAAATCCAGTGTTTGCTGCTGTGACGAAGTTGATTTTTTTTGTATATACTGTTTTAATTTTGGTTTTAACGGGTTTCCTTACTATTGAGGTTGTTTTGTTACGAGTATATAAAGGGACCGGTTTTGTCGGAGTGGTCAGATCTAGTTTGGTGTCCGGTAGCGTGACCAGCCGGAGATATGCCATGTTGCTGTATCCCCTGCATGATTATACAAGTGGCGAATATATTTCGGTGAGATATAGCACCGAATTTAACGGGTAGCCATATAACTTGTTAGGCGGACTATTGCAGAGTGTGTATGCAGTTCTAGCCGGTAAGAGTGTTCGAATAATGTAAATAGTTGATTCATTGTTATAATTTCCGGTTTTCAGTTGTAATATAGGTTAGGTTTTTGTAAACGTAAATTCATTTCAGTGCGTAAGGTGTTGAGAGAATATTGTGCACATAGAAGACGGGCTGAGGGTCAGTTGACGACTGTTATAAGCGTTTGAGGTCAGTGGGGAGCGTTGGATGGAGGGCCAGTCGTGTAATGTCCAATCGTCGATGCTGAACAGGAACCGATGTTGGTAGGATAACCGCAGTGGGAGGCGATAGACCCGGGGCTACGGTTAAAGCAACTACCACGTGGTGACGAGAGAACGGTACAGGACTTAGACGTTCCTAGATGAGTGCTAATGGCGGATGCACGTGTGATGTGACTTCCGGTGAACATTTATAAGCAGTTGTGATATAGTAACTATTGAGTAACTTTCAGCCGTTTAAAAAAAGGAAATTATTTTTTGAAGTATATATAATTATTAACTAAAATTATTTGAGCTTTTTCGGAATATTATTTAAGTCAATTTTGGTGAATTTTTCATTTGATATTATATCTGATACTTACTGAATCAGAATTGTAGAAGTTAATATTGAATTAATGTAAAGTACCGGAATTGGTGAAAACTGAGAGTTTACTATTACATTTATTTCTTTTCGGTGTGTGAGCCTGTACATGTATGTGAGAGTGAGTGAGTGACATAGAATTTATTTGTTTTCTAATTTATTTATTTTGTGTTAATAAATTTATTTGTTTATTCTGATTGATATTGTTTTCCTTCTCAACTCTACAAAATCCAAAAGAACTCATTACAGCTGCAGACTTGCAGCAAACCTCATTTGCATGGTAAAATGTTTGCTGCAAGCTTGCTGCATACTTGCCGCAAACTTGCTGCAAACCCAAAGGCTTTGTATAGGCTGCCATGGTTTACTTAGCTTCATTGCAGCAAGCTTGCAGCAATGTCTGCAGCAAGTTTGCAGCAATGTTTGCTGCAGACTTGCAGCAAATGTTTGCAGGAAGGCAATATTTTTGGTAAGGGAGCTCTTGCTCTCAGGACTATCTTGGGAATAAATTTAGGTGCATTTGGAAAAGCATGCCTCATCAAAAAGTTCGATTGATTACACTATTTTTAAATTGAAGGATAAGAGATATTTACCTGTACCTTGGCTTTCTTGCAACTAGATCCAAAATGATTAAGATGACGTCATATAGACTTCTGTATAACGTCACGGTACCCATACCAAACCTCCGCCAGAGTTCGTTTGCGCACAAACCATGAGGCCTCGACGGTGAGTATTGAAAAATACTTCAATTTCTTAGTTAGTCCCTTCATAGACCTAAAGCAACCCCTTTGCTTTAGGTCTATGTTCCCTTATATAATTTAACATCGGGTGTGTAGTGCCAAATCGGGTGTGTAAACAAAACAAATATGGCGCACATGCTTGAAACTGAAAACCGGTTTGCCTTAGCTATAAAAGCTTGTTAAGTTGTTTTGAGCCTAGATACACTGTACCTTGACGTTGTTATTAATGTGACAGGTGAATAAATATCCAATTTATCAGTATCTTTCTTAAAAAAAAAATATTATAAATTTAAGAATGATTCAAGTTTATTTCTTCGTATAAAATTTCTGTCAGAATTAATGTTGGGTATGTACCTTGTGCAGTTGTGAACTACTCTCGAGTCGGGCGGAGTTTGACCACTGTTCCTATACCTTTCTGTATTTATCTCCTTGAGTTTGTATTGTAGGTTAAGCATGATACTTGCTATAGAAAAACACAGTCTACTTGTACATATTATTCAGTTATTATCTGATTATGTTGTAACTCACTTACTGTTAGGAATCTCTTGATTAAGCTATGTAACTTAATTGAATTAGCTATATAGCTTTATTAAGCTATATTCAGAATAGCTTTATTTAGCTATTTTTTCAAACCTTTTCCGTATATATGTGTTATTTTCTCAGCATGGAAAAAAAAAAGTCATACATGTACTTAGCCGGTGCAGGGATATAGTTTTCAACTTTGAACTCTTCTGAAAACAAGTAATTAATGCATGTAAAAATCGCTCATAAAATTGTTTCTCCTTTAGAGATAATGGTTTTGGAGCCTGATATAAAGCGATTTATGACCACAGTTACTTCTTGATTGAAGTTATGAAGAAAGTCAAATATGGTCATCAAGAAGATAATTGATTGGTATTTGGTAATAATTCAGCTCAATGTGAAGCTCTCATACCCATGCTCCAATGCACACAAGTTAGTTACAGTTATCCAAACTGAAACAATGGAATTACATGTACATCTTTTGCTTAAAAGTATTTAAAAGCTGCAATGTTAGAACTATCTTTGATTTGCATTAATGATTTTTTGATAGTCCATAGTACATATATGAATTGTTAAATACTTTCAACTTTTTGTCTATTTCTTACAAAAAATATTTTTGTGAAAAAAGTGTGTATAAATAGCTTTAATTATCAAGCTATTCTGAATATCTTGATAAAGCTATACAGCTAATTGCAATATAGCTAATTCAAGAGATTGTGCACTGCTGGACCTGTTTAAAATTGACATTAGAATTTTGTTCAAGATACTGCATGTGCATGTACTTAAAAAACTGTTTAAAATTGACATTAGAATTTTGTTCAAAATACTGCATGTGTACTTAAAAAAGCCGAGCAGGCTTCATATTTTGGAGCTGACACCAATGCGCTAATTCGTGAATACCATTGATAAATCATTTATAAATACAATACATGGTGTGGACATTTGTAGCACTAATTCATGATTACGCCAACCGCTCAATACTCACTTAGTGCGCTAAATTTTGAATACACATACAGTATGTAATTCTTAAATGGAACCAAAGTCAAGTGCTGAAACAGTACCACGTCAGTGTTCCTGAACCAACTTATCCAGCTATAAATGGGATCCCAATATTTATATAATGACTAGTAACTTATAAGTCTTATATACATCTGGGCCTGGTTTTTCAAAAAGATGGTCAAATTTTACAAGCAATTTATCACCATGTTAACACCAGATTCTAACCACCTTTTGAAAAAGCGGACCCTGTTAGATTCATGACATATGATAAAATTCAAGGCATTTTTACCCTAAAGTTTTGTTTACCCTTATATGAATGTACAACAACTACTTTTTTACAGATTGTGTACCTGTGATAAATCCCCACAGCATGAAGAAACAAGGATTCAACATCCAGTGTAGAGTGTGTCACTGCTCTCAATGTCCGTGGATATGGAATTCTACTGCATGACCTGTAAACACAGCCTTTGTCTAAATTGTAAAGAGAGACATGTTATGAGTCTAGATACACTGTGCCATGATGTTGTGATTTACCGTGAGAAATTCAAGTGTTTTCTGAAACAAGAAGCCTGTGTAAGACATCCAGACAGGATATATGAAATGTACTGTCAGTCCTGCAAACTTCCTGTTTGTCGTCAATGTAAAATACACAGAAAACACAAAATATTAGATATCAAGACAGCATATAAAACAAACCGACAACAACACAGAGAAATAATTCACAACATCAGGAGTGAGCTTCTCTATAATAGTTGTTTCCTTCTTGCAAAAATCCACTCTGATATAAAAATTTTGCGTAAAGAAATTTCGGATCATCAGTCATTGATGTCAACAAAAGCTCAGAGATATAAAGGTCTTATTGATGATGTGATATGTGAAGTTAAACTCGTATACAATCATTTTTTGATTCATAGATTACTTAAACAGAGGACAAGAATGAAAAGATATCTTACTATCATGGAGAGCTATGATCAGAAAACTGAACAGTCCATAAATAGACCTGTAGAATTTCTCTCATTTATAAAGAATATTCCTAGCATTAAAACAAAGGGTATTTGTATTCTTACAAAACAAGCCCTTCTTTCCCTGAGTACAGAAGTCAACACAGAGAACTTGATTCAAGAATTAGAAGAAATCCAAATTATAGATCAAACAGGAAAAAGAAAAGTAGAAAGTGAATGTCTACTTAAACTGATGCCTACACCCGTGTTGCAAAAATCTGTCACAGTGAGAGGTATTAGCTTTGTAAATCACATTTCCATGGTGACCTCAGAGCGGGTCTGGGTCAGTGACCATGATGATATCTATTTGACAAACACAGTTGGTGATGTCATGTGTCATGTGACAGATGTACTGAAAGAGATTTGGTGGGGAATACATTCAGTGACAGGTGATGGTGAACTTATCTATATAAACAGAGAAGGCAATATCAACAAATTGTCTGTAGACAATAATGTAAAAATTACAATGATAACGAAAATGGAACCATGGGAACCGAGCTGTGTCTATTGCTCTCCAGCGACTGGAGATCTGCTAGTTGGAACAGTGAGACACAATACATACACAGGCAAGATAACTCGATACAACAGTACAGGACAACATGTCAAGACCATCCAACAATATCTTCAAGGTCACGAACTATATAACCGTCCCATCTTTGTCACAGAAAATCGTAACGGAGATGTTATTGTGACCGACTTGACCCAAAGTGCCGTAGTGGTGACAGACCACGGAGGAAGACATCGCTTCTCCTACACAGGGTCTGCATCAGAGATACCATTTACTCCCTTTGCACTTTGCACAGATGCATTTTCGCACATTCTAGTGTACGATAATTATGCAGATGCCGTGCAGATGATTGACAAAGATGGCCACTTCTTGTCAGTTCTACTTTCTACAAAGGAACTTGGGATAAATTTAGCGCAGTGTCTGAGCTATGATTATAGAACTCACCATCTCTGGGTTGGATCAAGCAATGATACATTGTCTGTTTTTAGATATATAAATAGAGTGGACTTTAGAACTGGTAGGTACTAGTTATTAACAAGATCATGAATCCTCCTCCCCCTCCCCCCACCACCACACATTTAAGATATATAAATAGAGTGGACTTTAGAACTGGTAGGTACTAGTTATTTACTAGATCATGAATCCTCCTCCCCTCTCCCCTGCCCCCCCCCCCCCCCCACCAAACATTTAAGATATATAAATAGAATGGACTTTAGAACTGGTAGGTACTAGTTATTTACTAGATCATGAATCCTCCCCCCCCCCCCCCCCCCCCCCCCAACCACCACCACCACACATTTTCATAAAAATATCGAAACTTTTCTGGCAAGACAGATTTTAATTTTAAACTTTATGTACTTTCTGTTCTCAAATAAAAAAACCTTAGATCTACCTATATAATTATGTTATGTTCAAAATTTCAAATATTTATATTTTTATTCTAATCAGAAAAACAAAATATTTAGTTTGATGAATCACTTCATTTACAGTTTGAGCACTTTTTCCCTTCATTGAAATCAATCCAGAGTGAATGGTTTGGATCTTCCTGCAGCCAGATAAAACCTTTCTGGATGATTTGCATGGACTCCGAATTTATCATTGTTCGAATTTTAATCATCTAATCTATTTCGATGATTTTTAGGATAACAACATACATGTGTGTTTATGCAGGAATGACACTTATCATCAGATCATTAACCTCTTATGGAAAAACTTGAATTTTAATGTACAGTAAATAAAAAAAAAATAAAGTTATTTTTGAACCAGAAAGGTATATAAATGTAATAAACTGTAAATCAATACACACTTTCAAGTCATTGATTGGAAATTGAGTATGGTTGATTAAAGAGTATATACTGTCTCTTTTGTCAAATAGAAAACATATTAAAGCTTGTAAACTATCAAGGATGGGAAATACGTTGTTGACCATTTTGTTTTATATGTCCATATATTGGCCGAGCTGTAATATATTAAAACATGTACTTAAGGTATATATAGAGATATTGTGAATATGTTTAATTATGGAAGAGATGCAGTACATCCTAATAAAATGATTTAAAGAAATGAAAAATACAATGTATAATCGCACATTGTATAATTATTATTATTAAACTTGTCCTAGCTCTTTATAAATACCTTATTTATTGATTGTTATATTTTGGGTAGATGACCTTGAAATACCTGATAAACAACTGGAATTTGTATAGTACTTGAACTTGACATTCACATTTGTTCAAAGCATATGGTCTCTAGCTCATCAGGACAATACATGTATAGTATTGTCAACCTAGCAAAAAATTTAGGCTAAATCGCGAACTAATTGCAACAGAAATTATTTTTATTATGATTAATAAGTTCAGGTAATATTATGTAGTGTAAAGTCTAGAAAAAATATTAATGAGGGGAAAACATGATTTTGGCACAATGTAATTAAATTTACACCTGTATGTTAATATTACTTTACCCGGTCCTTCGGATGAGACCGTATAAACCGAGGTCCCGTGTCGCAGTAAGTGCCGGCACGAAAAAGATCCCTCACTGCTCAATGGCCGTAAGTGCCGAGTATAGGACAAAATTTGCAGCTCTTCACCGGCAAGTGGTGGCGTCTCCATATAAGTGACAAATTCTCGAGAGGGACGTTAAACAAAAAACAAATATAAAATACCTTTAGAAAAGGGGCATAACTCTGTAAATCAAAATTTTTCCGGGAATTGCTTATTTTAGCTTTATCTTATTATTAAAGGATCAATAATGAATTATTAATATTCACAAAGATAATATCAATGTGAAGTGAATGTTTTAAATTGAATTTTATATTTGTTCTGACTATAAAAATATCAATGAATAGAGTTCAGGAAAGAAATATATACATGTATGTATATATATATATATATATATATATATATATATATATATATATATATATATATATATATATATATATATATATATATATATATATATATATATATATATATATATATATATATATATATATATTAAAAGTTGAGGTCAGAAATTCATACATTCTGTCTATGTGGAACATTTTTGTTTTTATCTCAAAAAGCCTTTGATCTCTTGAAATGAATATTTATATCACAAATCCCTTTGGTCTCTAGAAGATTCCCTTTGATTTTGAGATCAAAAGTTCAAGGTCATAAATTCTGTCTGTGTGGAACACTTATGTTTCCAGACAATATCTTAAAACACTTTTAAGCTTTTGCAATGAAATTATATCTCAACTTCCTATGGCCTAAGGAAGACCACTATTGATTTAGATGTCAAAAGGTCATGGTCAAATTCATACATTCTGTCTGTGTGGAACATTTTAATTTCCAGATAATATTCAAAAAGCATTTGAGCTTTTGCAGTGAAATTTTATAACACAACTCCCTTTTTTGCAAGCTTTTTTCAATGAAATTTAATTAATGTCACAACTCTTTGTGGCCTAAAAAGACGACTTGATTTTGGGTTGAAAAGGTCAAGGACAAAAATATCGTACATTCCATTTGTTTGCAACACTTCTTTTCTGGACAATAAGCCTTTTGGGTTTTTTGCAATGAAATTTTATATCACAACTCCCTATGGCCTAAAGAAGACCCCATTGATTTTAAGGTCAATATCTAGGTTAGAAATTCATATTTTCTGTCTGTGTGGAACACTTTTGTTTCTGGACTTAATTTCAAAAAGACTTTTGAGCTTTTGCAACGAAATGTTATATCTTAACTCCCCATGTCCTAAAGAAGACCCCTGTTGATTTTGAGGTCCAAAGGTCTAGTCATATGTTCTGTCTGTGTGTAACACTTTTGTTTCCAGACAATATCTTAAAAAGTTCCTTTGAGCTTTAATCTGCATTGAAATTTTATATCACAATACCCCATAAATTAAAGAAGACCTCTATTGATTTTGAGGTCAAAGGTCAAGGTTATAAATTCATTTTTTTAGAATCAGAAGTGTGTGTGGTGACACTTCTGTTTCCAGAAAATAACTTAAAAAACTTCCTATGGCCTAAAGAAGACTCCTATTGATTTTGAGGTCCAAAGATCAAGGTCATAAATTCATGCGTTCTGTCTATGTGTAACACTTTTGTTTCTGGACAATATCTGAAAAACTCGTTATAGCCATAGAAAACTCCTATTGATTTTGAGGTCAAAAGTCAAACTAATATATTCTGCATGAAACACTTTCATTTCCAGATGATAAACTCGTAAAGCCTTTGGTTTTTGCAATGAAATTTTATATCAAAACTCCCTATGACTATGGAAGAAGCATATCGATTTTGAGGTCAAAAGGTCAAGGTCAGTTATTCATGCATTGCAGAAAATAGTTTCCAAGATGATGTTTTGTCTTAACAAAGACCCTTAAATGATCTTAAGGTCAAAGGTCAAGCTCAGAAATTCATATATATATATATATATATATATATATATATATATATATATATATATATATATATATATATATATATATATATTGCAACAAATGGTTTCCAGATGATAACTTTTGTTAGATCTCATTCATCTTTTCAATGAAGTTTTATATCATAACGCTTAGTGACTTAAAGAAGACTCGTATTCAATTTAAGGTCCAAAGGTCAAGGTCAGAAATTCATACATTGCAAAATATGATTTCCAGATGTTATTTTTAATTTTCATTGAGCTTTTTCCATGAAATCTTTTATTGTAACTCCCAATGACTTAAAGAAGACCTCTATTGGGTTTTAGATTAAAAGGTCAAGGATAAAAATTCATATCTTGCATAAAATGGTTTCCTTATGATCACTTAATTTCTCTTTGAAGTGTTGCAATGAAATTTTTTTTACCTTTAGTCAATATGAATTAAAAAAGACACCTTTTGAATTTGAGGTCAAAATGTCAAAAAACCAAGGTCAGAAATTCATATATTGCATGCTTAGTTTTCAGATGATAACTTAGTTCTCTCTCTTTGCAATGAAATGCAAGGTCATGAATTTTTTTTAACTTAAAAAAAAAGACTCCTATTGTTAAGGTCAAAAGCTAAAAGGTCAAATTCAACTATTTTTCTCCATCTGCATTTTTCCTGTCTTTAGCCTATTTCTTTTTTCCTTGAGTGGAGGACACAAATTCCCTGAATGAGCTTGTTTGATTATTTTTTTATTTCATTTCAATGAAATACATTTGTATTTTGAATACTGTAAACATACTTTTTTCCACAAGGTCATTAAATTCCATGGAATCACAAAGTTGAAAATCAAGCGGATTTCGTAGATTGCCACAATATGAATTTAATGTACTTTAAGTACATGTATGCTGGGACAAATTTCTGTGGAAAAATTGTGACTGTGTACATTGCACAAATTAATATCATGAGGAAAAAAGTACTTCTTCTGAATAAGTATTATCCATATAGTTGGCATTGACCTCAGAATTGGTTATTGATTTTTAGGGATATTCACTTGTTTATTGTATTTACTAAGGAAAAGGAAATGAACAAATTCACTAGAATTTATGTGGTAGTTTTCAAATGCAAAGTTTCCTACTAGGTTGGGCTGATGGGTTAACCCTTTAGCTCAGTTGGTTTAAGAGCACTGGACCGACATGCCAGAGTTCCTGGATTCAATTCAAAAACGAAGCATCCAGCTTGCGGCCTGGTTATTCTCTAATGGGTAAAAGTAATTGCCCTTAAAACTTGGAATTGGCACTTCAAGACAGATGGGGACACTTTTTTCTCTGGAGGGAGACATGAATATGATGCACAGCTTCCTACTAGATTGGGATAGTTGTTTACCCCTTTAGTTCAAGTGGTAGAGCATTAGACAGAAATGCCAGAGGTTAAAGGTTCAATCCCAAGCTGAGGCACATACCTGTCTCTGTTACATTTATATATAAAAATATTAACTCTGATACTTTACTCACAAAATGATGAGTACACAGCAATCATGATTTTGATTTGATTTCATATGTACATTGTTGCCCATAAGTAATTTTTGCTATTTTCTTTTTCACCAGAAAGAATTTTTTTTTGATTAATTAGTTTGGTCATTGACTTCT